GCCAGGATTGAAAAGGGGACCGAGAGACTTGCACCTGTGTCTAGCAACAGGCTGTTTTCTTTTTCCTCTATAGTCATGATTCCCCGGGGCTCATCCATGGAGATGACAGTCTGGCCAGAGGGAGAAGGCAGAGTATGCCCTGGGCCCCCTCATTCCTGTTGGACTAACTGGTAGGAGGGGTGTGAGCTCTGGGGCCTCCGCTTCAGAGGGCAGACTGATCTCCAGTGGTCTCCTTTGCATTCAGGGCATGGCCCAGGGGGCTTCTTAGGGCAGTTCCTCTTTAGGTATAAGCCTTTATATTACCTTAGAATAGGACTTCCCAAGCGTGGAATTACTGAACAGAAGAAATGCATATTTTTAAGGTTCTTAATATTTACTACTTAAATCATTTAGGGATTTTAGAAAGTGTGTATTTCACATTTTTTGCTTTTTCTAACTTCTAACACTTGAACCTGGAATTTTCATTTTATTTTATTTTGGTACCAAGAATTGAACTCATGACTTTACCCTTGCCAGGTAGGCACTGTGCCACTGGGCTACATCCCCAGCCCTAGAATTTTTAATGTGAGTCTAAAATGTTGATTATCTTAGAAGTACTACTTTTATTTCCATGCTCTACAGAAAAGGTTATTTTTATATAAATCTATATAACTTTTCTAGAGGATAATAAGGCAGTATGTATCAAAATCTGTACATTCCTGATTCAGTAACTTAGGAATTTATCCAAAATAATTTGTCAAGAATCTTATATACAGGGATGTTCATTGATGTATTATGCATAATAATAGAAAGCTAGTAGTGTAAATTTTTGATGGTGGGAAAATAATTGTTTTATTTGCATTCATTAGAATCTGTTAGAAAGACAGTCGTAAAAATGTAATACAGAGCTGAGGGTGTAGCTCAGTGGTAGAGCACTTGCCTAGCATGTACAAGGCCCTGAGTTCAATTTCTAGTACCATGCACACATGCACAAAAAAACCAGAAATTTTTAGAATTAATTTTTGTTGTTGTTTTATTTTGCTGTACTGGGGTTTGAGTACAGGGCCTTTACACTGAGCTATATCCCAAACATTGCAAATTTTTATTTTGAGACAGGGTGTAAGTCTCTTATATTGCCCAGGCTGGTCTCAAACATGTGATCCGTCTGCCTCAGCTACTCCAGAGTGCTGGGATTACAGGCATGCACCACCACACCTGACCTATAATTTATTGTTTAAAAATGGTGGTTTGTGATTCCTTTTTTTTTTTTTGGTGTTTTTTTTAGACAGGGTTTCACTATGCAGTGCAGGCAGGCGTTGAGCTCACTTTGTAGCCCAGGCTGGCCTTGAACTCACAGAGATGCTCTTGCCTCAGCCTCCTGAATGCTGGAATTATAGGCATGTACCTGGCACCACCCCTGGCCTCTTATGATTCCATTTTTGTAATGGAAAGTCACATACATAAAATAATTGGCAGCTTATACATATCAAAATAGGTATCTTTATTTTAGTTTTTTGTGATTTTTTAAAAATTTGTTTCCAAAATTATTTTGAGGTCAGATATTTTAAAACTTTATTTTAACATTTTTTTCATTTTTCATGTGGAAAAATGAAGTGATTTTAGTTGTAGTTCTGTCTCTGCCATTGTGTCTGACTCCTAAACTTTCTTCACCCCTCCAAACTGACCAACCCTCCACCCTAGCCAGCTCTGCTGAACAAGAACTAGGGCCTTTCTGCTCAGGACTCTGACATCTGCCAGCCTGCTGTTTCACCTTCACTTTAGTTTGCTGTAAATGAGCCTGCTGAACATTAAAGCAGTTGGCAGAAACCACCAGAAACTCAGGCCAAGATCCTTTCACTGCCTTCTGTCTCTGAGAAGTCAGCAAAGCTGGGTGCTGCTAGTGGACTAAAGGAGAGAGGGCTCCAGCCAGACCCGGCAGCAGGCAGTGGATGAGCTGGGCCTCTGCAAGGCTGATATGTGCGGACCTGCCCTGGAACTGCATTCTGTGTCCCTGCCATCCCCCTTCTGGCCCTGCCTAGCAAATGTGACCATAATGACCACAGTGATGGTGGTGGTAATACTGTCTTTTATGAGATAGCACATGGAAATGGAAAGGGCTCTTCCTCTGGATTCAGACAGGCCTGGATTCAAACCCTAGCCCTTTTACTTCTCAGCTGTGGTAGTCAGCAAATAGCTTCACTCTCCTGAGCATCTTTGCTCACTAAACTAGGACCAACGCTGCCTGTCCCACAGGATGGATGACATAGTATACTTAGAAAGTCACTTGCATGGCCACTGGTCTTAGGTAATTTTCGTCCTGTTTGTTCATCTCACTCATTTCCTGAACTTCGACTTTAAAGGCTCTGAGATTGACTCTTTCATTGACTGTCACAGCCTGACTGACATAAGGAAGGACCAGGCCAGGTGCTGTGTGGCCCCAAAGGGAGTAGGAGCACCAGATTGGCTGGCAGAGGTGGTGAGTTCTTGGCTCAGCCATACCACTGACTGTTGATGTGATCTTAGGCAGAGCAGTTAATGTACTATGGCTTGGTTTACTTCTTTATAAACCGGGATGGTTGGTCCCTATTGCATGTGCTTTATACAGGTGATGTGAAGTGGTTAGATTTAAATGAAGTAACAGAAACAAAACACTTATGTGGGGCAGAGATTATGATATAACAGGCAGGTGAAATAATGTTCATGATATATTAAAAAGAGATACCAATATTTCATATATTGTGGGGATTAAGTGCAGTTACGCATAGAAAAGTGTTAGCTCAGTATCTAAGTGTAGTAAGTACGTACTTAGGAAGTGGGAATTCGTTGCTGTTAATCATTAGTGTTGTCAGAAGTCTGATGAAGATTGAAAAGGTGAACCTGCCCATAGACTGTTCCCAAAGATGCCTTGTGCCAGTAATATGGTAAAAACTTAGTAAATGTTTTCACTGCTTAATTTGAAAAGAAGTCAGGAAGTAATAGTAAAAGTCATAGTAACACAGCTAACACTTGAATAGCAAATAATGAGTTTAAAATGCACTTGTATGGTCACAGTTTTGTTTAACTCTCATAAGTACTCTGAGCAAGGGACTGGCACCTTCTTTTGATAGATGAGGAAACTGCAACTCAGAGTGGGAAAGTGACTTGCACATGGCCGCCCCACGTCATCACATTCTTACCTTGGATACTCTGCCTTCCCTCCCTCTCCATCCCTGTGCCCAGACTACCCTCAGTGCTGTTTCTAGCTCTCCTCTGCTGACAGCCTGCTGGCGCTGGGCACCATGCCTTACCCGGCTAGGGACAGAAGCATCTCAGGGGTTTGTGGCTGGCTCAGTGAAGAGAGACCAAGTGCCATTCTTGAGTCCAGCTACCCTTCCAGAGTGTCTGACAGCTCTAGGAACTTTGCCTTTCCAGCTGAAAGATGTCCAGCTGTTGCTATGGCAAGAGCCTGGCTGCCTTCCTGGGACTAATTGTTGCATGTCCTGTTCAGTTTCTGCTCTTTCCAGTGCCTTTAGTTCCTGATTCCTGGCCAAGGCTTGTGGTTGGCAAATAAAGATGTCAAACAGTTGCTGTGCTGCTGAGGGTGCAGATCCCGGGCACCATGCTGCCACCCTCTAAGCTTCCTAAGCTTCCTCTAGTCTCATTGAGATGTAGGAGGGAAGCTCAGCGCCTACCAGGTTACATTGTTTCATGTTACACCCTTAGAGGGTATGTGGCTTACTGCAGAAAATTTGAAAATATAAAGAAACCCAGAAAGCACTGATTATTACTCACTTAGTAAATATTTCCTCAGAACTCGCTTTGTGCTAGGTCCTAGGTGAGATGTGACAGATACTGACATTACTGATACATTTCCTATCTTCCCATCACTTAAAGTTAACCACTGGTAGTATTTTGGCAAATTTCCTTCCACGTTTTAAAAACTACACAATTTTTTGTTCACGTATTTTGTAGATCATATCTTCTACAGATATACAGAATTTTGAATCTTGTTTTTGAAGGATGATATGAGCATGTCTCCATAGTATTATAAATATCCTGAAACATTATTGAAGCAGATACTTTTTTTCTGATTACAGATGTAACCCATGCTTGTTATAAATCATTTAAATATTTCAGGAATAGTTACTGGAATGTTATTCAGGTGTACATCCTCTACATATCTTAATCATTTTTAATGACTGTATGTGTTCAACTGCTTCCCCATTCTGTACCTTCAGGTTTTCTGATTTTTCATTATTAAAAATAAAGCTAGGATAAATATATTTGCATTATAGAACTTAAAATTTTCAGATCCTGTTCATGTGGTAATTTTTCAGTTGAGAAGTTTCACGGGTTGGATGGCGTGAACATTTGCATCAGTTTGAATTCCTATCAGTGATACACGAGCTTACCCATTTCACTGTAGCTTGTTGGCATTGAATATTGTAATTAAAAACCACAATATCAAATTTTGCTAACTATGATAGCTGAACTGTATCTTGTTTCAATTTGCATTTCTTCAGTGTCTATTGAACTTTCCATGTTTGTTAACATGATGTACTTCATCCTTTTTCAAGGCTTTTTTTTTTCTGCTTAACTCTTGAGATCTTAATATTCTTTTTATTGGTTCTTCTAAAGGGTTTCTGTAGCAGAGTGACTGAGGTGTAAGGTGTTCTGAAGGCTCATGAGAGACAAATAGGCCCCTTCTCTGTTTCGTAGACTATTGGCTGTGGAATCATTACCATGGATTAAATGTTGGCATTGCAACTTTCTAGCTTGTGTCCTGAATAAGCGACCTAACTTTCAGTTTCCTTATGTGCAAAATGCGGATAATAATAGTTATCTCATGGGGTTGCTTTTGGGAGCCAAAGTAAGAATGTATGTGTAAAGTTCTTAGTATAGTGCCTGGCTGGCACTCCATTCATGTGAACTTTTGTCACTATTATTATTTCCCACATAAACCCTTTCACATTTCTGGTGCGTTTATCCTCCTATCCTTCAGTGGCCCAGTTATCAGACTGTCTCACTGTGTATTCTTGCAGATCAGCCAGATGGCCGATGACACCATGGCAGAACTGGACAGGCATCTGGCAGTGAAAACCAAAGAACTCCTTGGATGAAAGTCCAGCAAGCCCAGCCACACTTCAGAGCCCAGGTTTTGGTGGATCCCACAGGTGGCAAATTGGCCCCATCTCTCACCCACTCCATTCGTGGGGAAGGCCGGCACAGTGCTGTGAGTTCACAGGAGGCCCAGCCTTCCAGTGGAACACTCAGACTTGTCATTCTCTTCCTCCTTGCCCTGCCTCCCTCTTTCTGCTCTGAGCCTTCTAATAAGGTGGCCCTCAGAGAGCATCCGCTGCTGGCAGAAGATCTTTACTCAGGCATTTGCCTTAGTGATGTCGCCAAGGGATTGGGACCATCGGCAACTTAGCTCCATCTGCTCATCACCTCGAGCATCTCCCCTTCAGACGGTCAGGCTCTGTCCCTGATTTTAAACTCTGCTCACAGTGACATCAGCTTTCGCCTGTGACTGGACTGCTTTGCTAGAGGCTCATTTCCACCAAGTGCTAAAATCGGAATAAATTGGAAAGAATAACAGCCACAAAGGTGGAAAAGACAGAGTTGGCCTGGATGGATGATCTCTAAGAACCTGTATATAAAACAAGACTAGTGCTTTTGTCTCTGGGCCATCTTCATGCATGCTGTGCTCTCTGCCTGAACCACTCTGCCATCCTCACAGGCCAGTCCTTTTCGTCTCGATGTCACATCCTGTGGGAAGTGTTCTCCCCACCCCAACCCAGAGCTCAATATTGGCTCTCATAGCTCAGTCTCCTGCTTTTATTTGAACCCTGATGATTCTTTTTTGCTAATTATTCTGTATTTTAGCATAATGCCTGGAACACATAGGTATTCCTGTATTTGTGTTGTGAATAAATTACATGCAGTAGCTACGCTACAAATGCTTTTTTCCTTTTATTTCTCTTGTTAACACTATCATTTTCCATTCTTAATTTTTGTCCTTGATATTTATAGTGATATTTACTTGATAGTGAGATACTTTTCCCCAGGGCCTGCCTATCAACAGAAAAGTGGTTAATTATGGCCCATCTTTGGGTGCTTGGTTAAGTGAGATTTTCCCCCCAATTTTTTTTTTTTTCATTCATTCATTTATTCACTCATTATATAGGTATCATGAACTAGATTTTGTTCTGGGCATTATTGGTAATCTTCACAGTAAATTTGACAAGTGTGTATTATTGCCATTTACAAATAGGAGAACTGAGACTTGACAGTGTTAGGTAGATAATCTTTCCAAAGTAACAAAGCTGGAAAGTGGTAGAGGGCTTTCATTATTCACTGTCAGTTTCATATTACAAAGAAGCGAGGCTTCTTGCTCAGGGTTATGCAGCTAGCAAGTGGCGAGGCTGGGATTCAGATTGAGACCTGATTCTAAAGTCTCTGCTCACTAATGGCAGAAGAAATAAACAACTGTTTTCAGACTATACGCTCACACTCAACACAGAACACTTCTGTGACCAGAGGTGTGAGACTTTTCCCCACACACCAAGCACTTCTGCCGTGGATACCTACTGGGTGTCTTATACTGTAATTTAATTCTGATGCTGTCTACCTGGAGGTAGTGTTGGTCCCATGGATTGTGGGCTCAGCCCCACAAAACTGCCTCCACTTTTGATACCAATTGTGACTCTGGGCCACTTACATTTCTGACTGACCAGCTACAAACTGGGTTCCCAGTCCCCACCTTTGACTGAGTTAATTTACTAGGACAGCTCACAGAACTTGGAAACATGTTTACTGAGCCAGTTTATTATAAAAGATACAGATAAAGAGGTACTTAGGGGGAGGTCATGGGGGAACTATTGCACTGAGCTTCCCTGGCCTCTTGGCACACCATGTTCCCAAAACCTCACATGTTCGGGATCTGCCACCTTGGTAAACATTTAGTAAGCACTAGTCATTTGTCAGTTACTGTACTGTGGCCTGGGAATTAAAAAATGAGTAAGACGTGGTCTTTGAACAGTGCCTAGTTTACCGAACTAGATTGTTATCTATAGTGTCTTGGGGAAGAAGATATGTGCTGGTTCTACTGGGTGTCTACCTTCATGGAGCCACTGTGGCCGCAGCAGGGACTGGCTGAGTTCCCTTGAAGCAGCATCTGCCTTCTGCTTGCTGTTTTACTCCCTCCAGTCTTTGTTCTGTACAGAGGTAATAAAAGGTTGTACTCCTGCTTATCCTGGTAGAACCTGCTTGAAATAACTAGTGAAAATTTAGGTCAGGATTAGGTCAAGGATGAAAGGAACTAACATAAGCTGCCGCTTGGTTTATCTGTCTTCACCAGCCCTTAGTGACCATCTTGCAGTCTATCGGAAGTCAGCCAGGAAACAGAGATAGGCAGAGCAATGAAGGAGCCCCTTTTGGAGCAAGCCACACGGCTTTGCTACAGTCTTTTGTGAGTGGCTGGAGTCCCCTACTCACTGCAAATGTTCTTCTCAAAGAACTTTTTTTTTTAATAAACAGAGGAAATGATATATCAATTATGTTGTAACTCCACTCCAAAGGCATTTGTTCTTAACAGCCAAATCCTCTGTAGTCTTTAAATAAACAAAAACTTACTTGGTGAACAGATGAGGAGGAAAATGAAAGATTTTCTATACTTGGGTTCCACATGTCAACAATTTCTCTCCTGTGTGTATATTGGCCAAAGCCGTGTATCATGATAAATGAATAAAGGAAAACCTCGAGGCCAGGGCAGTCAGACGGCTCAGCAAATGGCTTTCAGCTGAATGCTGTATTTCAGTTGACATTTATGGAAGAGTTTCTCTGTTGCTCTGCCTGTCAAGGCTGCAGTGGCGGTAGGGCCGAAGAGACTACCTGTTTGGATGTGCTAAGTAATGCGGATGCTGGAGTAATTCATCCCCGTCTCCCTCCCACAGTCTCCTTCACATGGAAAAACTCGGTGTGGAAATTCACTTGCCAGAAGAATTAACAACCTGCTCTGTCAGTTCAGCAGCTTTCAAAATCCTATGAAGAACGTAGGCAAAGGACTTCTTCTGTTTTTATTTTTTTTCTTGATGTGCATGTGTTAGAAATTAAAAAATAAATACAAAAAGTTAAAACTGAAACCCTCCAGTCTTACCTCACTTTAAAATTAGGTTTCTATCCTTGCAGATTTTTCTGTGTGCATAAATAATGTTTAAAAGGAGGGGAAGGAAATACTCTGTACATATATTCTGGTTTGGTTTTTTTCGGTCCAAAAACAATTGTGGCAAAAAAAAAAAAAAATTGTGGCCATCTATCCATGTGGGTACATACAAATATAATTCATTCTTTTATTGCAGCGCAGTATTGAGCATATGGATCTACCATTACTTATTTTATTCTTAATATCTATGATACTTCTTAATAAATGCATTAGAAGATATTTCTACTTAAAATTCTTTAAGACAGAAAACATTGCTATTCTAGGATTGTCTGGTAAATTCTACTCTTCCTCCTGCAATCTCAAGGCTAATATCTATTGAATGTTTACCGTGGACCAGGCACCATGCTAGACCCTTTATATGTGTTCCTACATTGTGTGTTTACATGTGAGAAAACTGAAGTTCAGAAAGGGTGTTTCTTGCCGACAGTCAAAGCTGTAAGCACTGCAGTGAGGTTTCAGACCCACATCTAACTGGGAAGCTTTGCGTGCTATATGAGCAATTCCTCAGATTGTATGTAGTACTCTTCTGGGCCTGGATATAGGAGAAGTTGAATTCTTGGCTTACAAAATAATCAGAAAGCTATTTCTAGTGAGAGTGCAGCTAAATAGCATAGTAGTCATCACATAGTAAACACTGAAGAAGTAGTAGCACTTACAGACAGTGAAGATGACATTCATAGCCCCCCGATTGACCGACTTCTCTAAGTAACGTTGGAGAACCATAGTCAGCAAAATGATGGCAAAGCAGTGAGTGCTGCAACAGCAGTAGTATTGAGAGCATCAATAAGGAACCTTTGGTTGTTGCTCTTTAATTTTCAAGGTGTTCCTCCTTTATCCCATTGGAACCATTGACTGAGACTGCAGTTAGGGATAGACTGATATCAGAGCTTATATCCTCAAAAGCCACTGAGGCTTTCTTTGTCCTAACAAATGGTCAGTTTCCATGATGTACACTTGAAGTATTCTCTTTTTTGGGGGGGGGTACACATTTTGATATGTATATATGAAATGTGTTTTACAAATTATGCTGTTTTGCTTTTCTCCATCCTTATTTTTCACCACTGAAGCATCTTGGGCTGAAAAGCGTGTATATCAGTTTCCTGTTACTAGCATTTCTATTTTTTCTTGCATTTCCTATAATTTGTTTTTATGAAACTGCTGCTGTGTTGTTGGATGCCTTGCTGGACTCCAGACTCATATCTTCATGCAGTGCTGGATCTGAGTTCTATCAAGACCACAGTCCTTGCTTGCTTTTTCGTTACATTTGCTTGGTATATCTTTCCCCTTTTTTTCATTTTCAGCCTTTCAGTATCACTATGATTTGGGTGGATTTCTTTTTCAGTATTGAGTTTTTTCCAATGAACCATTCTGAAATTCCTTTTTTCCTATTGATTTTCATTTGTGGTAAATTATACGTACAATATTCACCATTGTATCCGTGTTCAAGTGTATAGTTCAGTAGTGGTAAGTACATTCACATAGTTGTATAATCAGTTTCCTGAATTCTTGTTCACCTTGCAAAGCAAACTCTGCACCCCCAAGTCCGCTAATTCCCCATTGCCCCCTCTTCCTGGCCCTGGTGGCCACCATTCTACCTTTTGTCTATGAATTTGACTACTCTAGGAATGTCATATCAATGGAGCCAAATAGTTGTATTTGTCTGGCTTATTTTACATAACCTAATGTCCTCAGGGTTCATCTATGTTGTAGCATGTGTTAAAGAATTTCTTCCAACGCTGAATAAATTATGATGTATGTATATATGAAATTCCTTTTAATAGGCAATTTAAAATCATTTACATGTATTGGTAATGCCAATTTAGAGAAGCCATTTACTTTTTATCCCCACCCCCATACTGGGAATTAAATACAGAGCCTTGCTAGGCAAATATTTTACCACTAACTATATCCTCAGCCTTTTTTAAAAATTTATTTGGAGACAAGATCTTACTCAGTTGCCTATCTGGTCTTGAACTTGGAGTCCTCCTGCTTCAGTATGCCAAGTAGCTGGAATTACAGGTGTGCACCATCATACCCAGCTTCCACTTACTGTGTTTCACAGTCGGTCTTATCACTAAGTGATGTGGTATCTCAGTCTTCTGCACTTGGAGACTAGAAATCAGATTGAGCAGAAGGGTTGCTTCCACATAGTTCATTTCTTGCTGAATGAACAAATAAGTGATGTGCCTTGTCTTGTCCATTCTTGTTTTCTATTCTTCTGGCCTCTGTTTCATTCCATCCAGTGTGTTCCATTAGATCCCTGTGAAACATTCCACTGTGATTGAGACCAACCCTGTTGCACCAGCTAGTGACTCCGTCTGTTGGTGTTTCTCCTGCCTCCTGGACCTGTACTTGCCCTTGAGCAGCTCCACTTGGAAGTGCACATGCTCCTCACACTCAGCCAGCCCTGCCTGAAAGACAGCGCTCCCCTGCTCGCCTCCTGCATTTCCTGCTCACGGACAGGTGGCACCACCTGCCCAGGTGCCTTACCTATCCTCCATCCTCCAGTAAGTCCCTGGGTCCTGCCCATTCTCCCTTCAAATTACCTCTACTTTCCTTTCTAGTGGTGCTTACCTGGGAACATTTGTGGCAAATGTCGTGGCAGGCCTTGCTCAGGGCTCTAAGCATTTGGCCCCTCCTCAGAGGTAGACAAAGACTGACCCCAGAGGAGCCTTGTGTGAGCCCCTGCACCTTCAGTCTTTGCATCCCCTGGCCAACACACTGTGGCCGAGCAGG